TTTTTTTTTTTTGGTTTCCCATCACCTGTTCTATAATCGTATTAGGGTTCAACTAAATCAGAATTCGCACCGAAAAATTCCGGGTAGGCAAAGACGATTTTATATTCAGAGCTCGAATTCGAAATCTCTAGTTAAAAATAAAGAAGTATTTACCATTCAACCAAACCCTGATCAGTTGTTTAGGCATTCTCTTTAACTCTTTTCATAACCATCATATAAAAGATCTATCCACCTTTTTTATAATTTGACCAAATACAACTCATCCCTAAAACCATGCATGTAACATTTTCAACTGCTTTTGTCATTTTATTTTAACTATAGTCATATTCATTTAATTTTTGGAACTTCATTCTCTGGTGTGGATAGTTTGAAAGCTCCAAATGTTGCTTTCATGGTGGTTCCAACTGTATACCAGAACCATCCAACATGACTTAATATTAAGTTGTTAAATGGCAATTAAGAGTGCTTTAAATGCGTAACTATCTCTAATTAGTATATGCTCATAAAATTCTAGCATTATTCCCAAATTAACCTCCTTTTTGTATAAAATACTTGAGCCCTGTAAAAATGACTATTTTTCAACTTCAATGTGTTTACTCGAGCGTGTGAAACCTCATTTATGAAAAATACATGAACGTGACATCAAAACTTTCAAATGCTCTTTTTTTTTTTTTTTTTTCAATTTTAAGCAAATATATGGTAAAGTTGCATGACCTATATGTTGGGGGTTAGAGCCGTAAAATTAGTTGCCTATATCACGCCCTTCGAGGTGTTGTCCTTCTCCGGATACTGCATAAACGCAGGATACTTCGTGCATCTGACTGTCATTTTTTTGTTCAAACACACCACATGTCTACATGTAATTAAGAAAAAAGGAAGATGATCTCGCATGTGTCTCGTTCACAATATGGTTGCGAACATTATCTTTAACCCATTGTCGTATATATCCACATACTTGTTGGTGCTTGAAATCCCAATTTTCATCAGATATACTCTTGGGTTTATGAGCTGAAAAAGCTGGTAGATACATCTTCTTCACGAACAACAAGTCTTTCATCTTGCTTCTCCAAACATTATAATTGCTCCCATTTAAACATACCATCTTGCCCATATTCGCCTCCATTCCGTAACAACCCGGATAAATAACCAAGGCTCGTTAGTAGTGGCTCGAGGAGTCAAGTCTGGTCATTTATATGTGACACAAGGCTTTATTCTTAATGATTCCATAAATCTGGTGGAAAGCGACACTTTATCAGAAGTGTGGCATAGAAGATTGAGTCATATGAGTGAGAGGAAGATTACGTGTTTGGCTAAGAAAAGTTTGTTTTCTGGAGTGAAGCAAGCAAAGCTGAAAAGATGTATCTATTGTTTAGCTGACAAACATAAAAGGGTTTCCTTTCATTGTCATCATCCCTCAAGAAAGCCCGATTTATTGGAGCTACTACACTCTGATTTGTGTGGTCCTTTTAAAGTAAAGTCAAAAGGTGGTGCACTTTACTTTGTGACCTTCATTGATGATCATTCTCGTAAGCTATGATGTATACTTTGAAATCTAAAGATCAAGCACTTTGCGTGCTTAATGAATTTTAGGCTTTAGCTGAGAGACAGATGGGAAAGAAATTAAAATGTATTCTCACTGATAATGATGGTGAATATTGTGATCCTTTTGATAACTATTGCAAGGAACAAGGAATTCGTCATCAGAAAAATCTTCCCAAGACGCCTCAATTGAATGGTTTGGCAGAGGGGATGAATAGAACTCTAATTGAGAGTTAGATGCTTGCTTTTAGAGGCTAAACTTCCAAATACATTTTGGGTGGAAACACTTAACAATGTTGCCTATGTTATCAATTTGTCTCATGTTGCCACTTTGGATGGTGATGTCCCAGACAGAGTTTGGTTTGCCAAAGAAGTTTCTTATGATTACCTGCGCGTTTTTAGGTGTAAAGCTTGTGTGCATGTTCATAAAGATGAAAGATCGAAACTGAATATCAAAACTAAGAAGTGCATCTTTATCGGTTATGGTCAAGATGAGTTTGAGTATCGTTTTTATGATCCAGTTAACAATAAACTTATTAGAAGTCATGATGCAATATTCTTTGAAGACCATACTACTGAAGATATTGACAAAGCTAAGAAGAAAGATTCTCAGAGTAATGAGAGCTTAGTTGATATTGATCCAGTTTCTATTGTTAAGGAACCTATTGCACATGAAGGAACCCAAGACAATAATGAAGATAGTGATCAAGATCAAAATGATTATCATGGTATAGAAATTATGGATAGGCTTAGCCGCAAGTCTAGATTTAGAGGTTGAGAAGATGGATGTCAAGACTGCTTTTCTTCATGGTAATTTAGATGATGATATTTATATAGAGCACCCTGAGAAATTCGTAGTTAAGCTTGTAGATAAGCATGTGTTTTGCACAAAATTGATAGGCATGAAGCTTGTTAATAGTTCCTCTATTTGAATACATATTTGGCCCTTGGTTGGAGGGGGAGTTTGTTGGGCACATGCCTATATTGTCCAGCCAAAGGCCCAATGGCCTAATCTCATTCTCTTTTGATTTTCATTTCTATTCAGAATTGGAATTGGATTTGGTTTTTATTCCTATTCAGAGTTAGTTTTGGCTTTAAGAGAAATCACCACTCATAATCTATAAATAGGACTATCTTGGAGAATTATTCAATGCTCATTGGTACAAGTATTTAAAAGACTTAAGCATATAAGAGTGATTTTTGATAGATCTTTCATCAAGAGAAGAGAGAAGAAAAGTATTGGTTTTGCTGCAGATTTTTATTCCGACCAGCCAATTTCAAATAATGTTTTCTGATTCGTAAAACATTGGATCGGGCTAAAATTTTGACAAAATGTTCGTAATATCTTGGTTTTTAATTTGAACGGTGAAGATTGATTTTGAATCCTAAAGCATCTGATTAGAGACCCGAACAACAGCTCCAGTTTTGTAACTTCTCCTCCTTCAATTGATTTGTTGCTCCTCCTATTGGTATTGTTTCTCTGTATTTGATAATTGTGTAGCTAATTTGGAGAACTTTTGTACCCCTCTTATTATTATAGTGGAGTTTTTTGGATTTTTGTGATCTTGTGATTTTTACCTTCGATTTGAAGGGTTTTCCGCGTTAAAATTTGGTGTTCTTTATCTTCTTCATTTTCGGGTTTGCCTCTTCCTCGACATAAAAGTGGTATCAGAGCGAGGCAGGTTTATCTAGACGGTTTAGTTCTAGCTACAACCTATTTGACGGTAGTAGTGATTTTTGTATGAGAAATTTGAATGGAGTATTACTCACGTTGAGACAAACTTTGCAGTGGAGATTTAGAGATGCAACATGTTGAAGATTATGTGAAGAAGGTGAATCAAGTTTATTTTGTCAGGAATTTCAGGCCAAGAGGGAGATTTGTTAGGTGTTTGTCCTGATTTTCTTACTATGTTTGGTTTTCCTATCTCTTGAAGGAAAGGATAACATGTTTAACATAATTGAGTTTTATTTCTTATAGAAGGAAATTATAAATCTCTCATATTTTCTTAGTCCCTTTTCTTGTAGGTAAAGATTGGACTTCTATAAATTGAGGATTCTTTATTCTCATTCAATAGCATCCATAATGTAGCCATATAGGGTTTGAGAGTCTTGTTTAGGAGAGAACTTTACGGGACAAGTGTTAGCATGTCACTTGTGTTTGCTTCTTCGTCTTACTATTTTGTACTCTCTTTTATTATAGTGGATTGCGCTCTCTTTTATAATAGGATCAAAAAATCAGGTGTCATGCGGAATCTAGCAAAGAAAATCTTGAACAACGATAGACCACACAACAAAAGAGAAATTTACCAAACGAGACACAAACATTTAACGTGGTTCGGCCAATTGACCTACATCCACGACGAAGATGAGTAATCCACTATAATAAAATATAGTACAAAATATCGAGAGAACAACCTCACGAAGAGGCAAACACAAGCGACATGCTAACACTTGTCCCGTAAAGTTCTCCCCATAAACAAGACTCTCAAACCCCATATGACTACACTGTGGATGCTCCTAAATGAGAAGGAGGGATCTTTAATTTATAGAAGTCCAAACCTTTTCCTACAAGAAAAAAGACTAGCCAAATATGGAAGAATTATATTTTCTTTCTAGGAAAAGAAAAATCCAATTATGGTAAAAATATGTTGTCTTTTCCTTCATGAGATAGGAAAATCAATTAATGGTAAGAAAATTAGGACAACACCTAACAATTCTCTCCTCTTGGCCTGAATTTTCTGATAAAATAAATTTCATTCACCTTCTTCACATAATCTTCAACATGTCGCATCTCCAAATCTCCACCGCAAAGTTTGTCTCAACCTGAGTAGTACTCCGGTCAAATTTATCATACAAAAATCATGATTACCGTCAAATAGGTTGCAGCTAGAACTAAACCACCTCGATAAACATGTCTTGAACCTCGCTCTAAAACCACTTGTTAGGACCGAAAAATCAGGTGTCATGCTGAAGCTAGTAAAGCAAACCTTAAAAGGCAATAAACCAGATAACAAACGAGAAATATACCAAAGACACAAATATTTAACGTGGCTCAGCCAATTAACCTACATCCATGGCGGGCGGAGATGAGCAATCCACTATAATAAAAGAGAGTACAAAATATCGAGAGAACAACCTCACGAAGAGGCAAACAAAAGTGACACGCTAACACTTGTCCCATAAAATTCTCCCCCTAAACAAGACTCTCAAATCCCATATCGCTATATTGTGAATGCTAATGAATGAGAAGGAAGAATCCTCAATTTATAGAAGTTCAAACCTTTACTACAAGAAAAGGGACTAAGCAAATAT